ATATACTAGTGGGATACCCGACGTTGCCCGGGGAAATCAGTGGCGTTACTCAGTTGGTGACCGCTTGGTTGAAAGGAAAAAAACACCAAAAATCTAACTATCTATCTATTTCCTTCTACTTCTACTCTATATTGGCCACCATCAACATGCTGATTCTGCCAGCGGGAGGCGCTAGTTGAGACTAAAATAAAATTTTCCTGCATCCAATCTATCCATGCATGCATGCATGCATCCATCCATCCCATTCAATGCCATCCCATCCCATCCCATATCCCATCACATCTCATCGCATCCCATGCCATCCCATGCCATGCCATGCCATGCCTGGCCATCGCACCGCATGCCATCCCATCCCATCCCATCCCATGTCATGACATGCCATGCCATGACATGACATGCCATGCCATGCCATGCCATGCCATGCCATGCCATGCCATCGCACCGCATCCCATCCCATCCCATGTCATCCCATTCCATGCCATGACATGCCATGCCATCCCATGCCATGCCATGCCATCCCATGCCATCCCATCCCAAATAATAAAAAAAACAATAAGAAATCAAAAGATAAGACAAAAATAAAAAAATAAAATTAAAAAGTAAGCAATTAAAAATAATACATACTAAAGAGGTAGGTAAAGGGAAAAAAATGAAAAAAGGGGAAAATAAGTTCCCCAGCTGGAACTCGAACCCGGAATCCCGGTGTAGGAGACGGATGTTCTAGCGATTATGCCACTGCGCCGTTAAGGGTACACAGTATACACCATGGATTCACACGTACGTGATGTTTTAATCTGTACGCACCGCCATCTATTAATGAATAGATATATATCACTCTCTCTCTCTCTCTCTCTCTTGAGTCTTAATCTCTCTCTCTCTCTCTATTAATCTCTCTCTCTCTCTCTCTCTCTCTCTCTCTCGCGTGTACTCGTACGGACTTCGGTTCAGACGGTTGATGGCCACACGCATGAGCCTAGTGGTCCTGATGCAGGCATGAACGTATTCCTCGTCCGCTGACATCTGGCGTTGCTCGACAATGATGAAGCAGGTCCGCATCTGCTTCCTAATGTGTCAGAAATTCACTAATGATCGTCTGACGTGCAGACTGACGAGTCGCGCATCGAAAGCGTGTGACCAGAGAACAGGGAAGAACTACTGGGTATTGGGGAATGGCTAGGAAAACCAAAAATGCTTATAATATAATCAGGGGTTAGTAATTATGCCAGATGGTTGTCATTATTCACCCCTGATATAATATAATATGTATGCTGTTCTATTCGACATGTATTCCGATAGACGAAGATGCTGCTCTGATAGCAATATTGTATGGGCTTGACATAACTTGATTAATTATTGTTAATTTGATTAATTTGCGTTACGTTGTCGTAGCAAACAAAACGCACACAAAAATCGTTCATGTGCATTGAACTGGATGTTTTTCATCAAAAGTGTGGCGTGTTTCATTTATGGATATTTTGTGATTCTACCCTCCTTCGTATCTGTGTGTGCGTATGCGGGCGCGGCCTGCACCCATCGTGCTGTGTGCTGTGCTGCTGTGGTCGTTAGTGCGTGCGTCGCGTGCGTGCACGTGCGTGCGTCTGCGCTGCTCTTTCGCGTGCCGATGCCGCTGTTGTGTTAGGGGTGAGAGTGGCAGGGGGCTCTATAGCAATGAAAGCTAAGAATGAGTTTATCTGCGCGCAGACGTGTGTGTGTGTGTGTTGTGGTGTGTCGTTGCGTGCGTGCGTGCCATGCGTGCGTGCGTGCGGTGTGCTGGCCAGCTGTATGAGCCGGAACAGAGGCCACGAGGGGAGCCATGTTTATGTACTGATGGTATTGCTTAACGTTGCGGTGCGGGTTACCGGATGCCGCCAAGGAATGCTGGTCCAGGGATGCTGCTGCCAAGGGCGATTGCTGACCTGCAGGGAGGCTGCGTGCAGGATGCTGACTGCAGTGTGGATGCTGCTCCAGAGATGCTGCTCCAGGATGCTGTGATGCAGGGATGCTGTGTGTAGGGATGCTGCTGCAGGAATGCTGCTGCAGGGATGCTGTGTGTAGGGATTGCTGTGATGCAGGGATGCTGTGTGCTAGGGATGCTGCTGCCAGGAATGCTGCTGCAGCGATGCTGTGTTGTAGCGGATTCTGTGTATGCAGGCGACTGCTGTGTGTAGGGATGCTGCTGCAGGGAATCTGCTGCAGGGATGCGGTGCTGTAGGGATGTGCTGCTGATGCAGGTGCATTGTGTGTAGCGGCACGGAGGGCGTGATGCAGGAGAATGCTGCCTGCAGAGAGGCTTGTGATAGCAGGGATGCCTGCCACTGCAGGGCATGCATCGTATGCGTAGGGATGCTGTGATGTAGGCGATGCTGTAGATGCAGGGTGACTGCTGTGTGTTAGGGTGCTTGTGATGCCAGGGATGCTGCTGCAGGGATGCTGTGAATGCAGGGATGCTGTGATGCAGGGATGCTGTGTTGCAATGGATGCTGATGAGCAGGGATTGCTGCTGCAGGGAGGACTAGTGCTGCAGGCGAGTGCTGTCTCTGATGCAGGGATGCAGTGTGCAGGGATGCTGTGTGTAGGGCATGCTGTGAGGCAGCCGGATGCATGCAGTGTATAGGGATGCTGCTGTGCAGGGATGCAAGCAATGATGATGCTAGGGACGGTAGCCAATTAGTAGAGATATTAATCGAGTGTGATGAGATGTGTGAGGAGAATTAAGGAGAGAGAGAGAGAGAGAGAGCAGAC